ACATGAAGAGAAACTTCACTTATTTCTACACTTTCAAAAAACCTTCTTTCAATAGATACTGATTCAAGTTCACAAAGTTCAGAACACCAGGTTCTCCATTTATTTTGTAGGTCACTTGGCAAATCTTCATCCCATTGTAGACCACGTTCCCACATCTCTTGCAGAAGAATTTTCACAGTGATTACAAAGGGACTAATCAGTCCACATGGATCAAATATCTTTGAAATAACTCTCAAAACGTGACGCTTGGTGATTCTAGCATCAATGGAATCCCTAACATCTCTTAAATCTAATTTAATTTTATCCTCAATCGGATCCCACTTCAATCCCAAAGAAACCTGTTCCTTGCCCGAAGTCAGTATTTTCCTCATATCCGTTTTCATTCCAAAGTTTATACAATTCCGGACAATTAGTTTTTAATTTCCTCAAATGAAATCCCGCTGCTTTTAATATCTCTATTGCCGTAGAACGTCAAATGATAAGCATCTTGAACGGTATTGGCTCCATAGCAGAGATCATCAACATAAAGAAAAGAATTTAACATGTCATAACATTTTGGATGATGTTCCTTAAATTTCTTAATGTGAAATTTCAAAACGCAAGCCAAGGAAAATGGCGAAGTAGTTAAACCGAATGGGAGACGATTTAAATGGAGAGTTTCGGTTGAATCACCTACCTCTTCGGAAACCACAAAAATTTAAGGTATTTTCTATCTTCCTCCGCAATCTCTATCATAAGAAAAGCTTTCTCTAAATCTCCGCAAAATGCAACTTGATATTCTCGAAATTTAAGAATTATGTCCAATAAATTTGCATAAAGATTTACTCCCGATTCTAGAGACTCATTAAGAGATTTATTATTTTCATTAGCCTTACTGCTACAGTCATAAACAATTCTAACTCGAGTTGTTTCCTTGTCATCCCTAATTACCGCTCTGTGGGGCATATAATATCCTGAATTTTTATCTTCATTAACACATTTTCCCACAATCTGACATTCTAACTGATCCGATATAATTGTTTATACTGGTCATAAATTTCTTGATTTTTATTTAGTTTTTTGCTTTAACGAATCAAAACGCTTTTTCGCAATCTCAAAATTAGAATTCAACCCGACTGCAGGTCCCAAGTTTTCCTTCCACATCAATCTACAAACGTGCCTTTCCCCATTAAATTCCAGAGAATTTTCAAATTTTTCAATCAATTGATTGTCTCATTCAGAAAAGTTTTGTTTGTCTGACTGAAATTCTTCTATTTCCCAAATTTTTTCAAATCGCACAAAATGGAAGAAGAGTCCATGACTAAACATACATTTTTCATAATTATTAGTCAATTTATTACTTCCTTCCACTCCCGCTAGTAACCAACCGAAACAAGAATTTATCGCAGTAATGTTTTCATTTAACTCTCTCGTCATAAACACATCCCAAAATGAATCGCATCCGATAAGTATTTCCGTCTGACAGTCGCCAGAAAATGAATCAGCCAAAGGTAAACCTCTTTCCTTCAACGCATTGCGAATAGATACATCAGGAATTTTCAAGGACAAATTAGATATATATTCCGTTATGACAGCTTCTAACTCGTACGATTTCGAACTTTGATCCCTATTGCGCAACGTCAATGAAACGATACCGTATTCCTTCTCACGTGCCTATTTTGTCTCCGAAAGCAAAAATAGCTATTCTTTCGTAGCGTATTGGCTTTAATTTTAATTCTTTAACTAATCGAGATGAAATAAAACTTCGATGACTACATTGTCTAAAATAACATTATTTAAGACTGAATTTTTTATCCGAACAGGCTAAAACTGTACATGTTTGTAAAAAGGCTTATTTTTGGTACATATATTACTATGACACAGAAATATTCTCGGCGCTTTTATTAGATTTAGATTGTGAGTCATTCAAAACAGTTTTCGCTTTCGACTTGCTTCTCAACCTCTCATTGTAACATTAACGGGTTTATTTTTTCTACACACTGACTCATGATGAAAATTGCTTTACAATTTTTACACGATATTTTTGCCCTGCATACGCGAGAAATGTGGATATTTTTAAAACAACACCAGCATCTAGCTTCAGTCCTAAGCTTATTTATTTTTTGTTCTACATCCAATTTTTACAACTTACGGAATCGTGATGACCGTCACAGAATAAACAACATTTTTTATTTGTGTATTTAACGCTGAAGCGGTTTGATATATTTTTAGGTTTTAGAATAGTTTTTTTCTGATAGTTTGACCACTTTGATAATTTTGGGAAAAGGATCGTTTGTTTCGTAACTTTTTAGCAAGCTCATCACAGTTTCAAGGCAAGTTTCCCTAAGATTCTACTTCATTCCTCAAACGTAATAATCCGAAAGCTCACAATCACTTCCCTGTTTCGTTTTTGGTGAAACCTAACACCAAATCTTATTGGTAGCAACTTCAATAATATTGGATTCAATAAATGCTCATATGAACCCCTCCGTTACATTTACTGAATGCAAATTTCTTATATTAACTTCCATTTCATCGTATAATTTATGCAAACCCTTAACATTAGACGAACATCTCACGGATTCTAAGCTCAATAATTTAGTCATGTAAGAATTTATAATATAATCAGTTCTACCATATCTTTGTTTTAAAAGCTCAAGAAATGAGTCATAGTTTTTCTCATTTAATTCAAAACCCGCAACAACGTATATGCAGGACCAGAAAGAAGGGATTTTAAATATTGGAATTTTCAATTTTCGTAAGTGAATTTGTTTGAACCGATTGCGCTATCAAAACTGTTTAAGAATTCCATAAATTTGCCAGAATCACCATAGAATCGCGAAATTTCTAACTTTGGTAATTTTAAAGCCGTAACGGTGTTTTTCCGCAACACTAGATGTGTTAAGAACTGAAGAAGTTCCGCTGAACATTTTCTGCTGCTAATTCTTTAATTTTGCTTTTAGTTTAATCTTAGCCAACAATATTTTGTCATCGTATTCTTCCGAAGCTTTTAATTCGCTTTAAATTTTTTCCGGATCGTCTATCGTGCTTCCACCTCTAAATCATGGCTTTTCAAGATCTCTCTTCGTTTCTAATAGTTCCGTAGTTCTGATAATGAACTTACGTCTTCGACGCTTCATCGAGCTTCTGCACTCTTTTAACTAGTTTAGTAACACTAGCGCGAACGTTACTTCTTTTTTCAATTATTTTCGACAGCTTATCCATTTTAACTCAGAATTTGTGAGTTCAAAAGGTCTACCTCCACAGTCCAGTATGCAATGTTACGTATCCAAGCGTACGTACAGTATCCAAACTTCTCAGAACTATATCCAGTAATGGTGACTAGTTTCTTCGATATTCCACCATTCCCGGCCGAGCACCAATTTTGCATCTAAAATGGTTCTGTGAGACTAAAGGTGCATCCAAGAGATAATACGAGGTTTTGTTAAAAATAACAACATTTATTTACAAGAAAATATACGAAAATTTTAATCAATTAGAGATATATTATTAGGCATATCTGCCTTCCACGTCTTACACCTTTAGTATCCTGCCTGCCACTGACTATTAGGACGAACGCAGCGCCCTCTTGTCAGAATGACGCTGGAAATACGTAATACCTGTTGCTGTTACTCAAATAACCCATGGCATCCCAGTTTCCATGAGTTTTCTTAGTAACCTTACTGATATTTTTTACCGTGAGCTTTGCCACTAATGTCCGTGCTCTCGTCACAGGCAATGGAGAAACTTTCGAAACTAGATGATTTTGCTTTGATCTGATCACTTAAATTCGCGGCTAAATCATTAACTCTTTCCGCAACTGTATTTCAAGACAATGAAATTGATTGAAAAGCCTTCACATTTTCAGGACGCTTTTTCACTCCTAACTTGAGCTCTTTCAACTTTTCTTCTCTCATTAATCCTTCGTAATTGTTATATTTCGATTTGTGTTGTTCGTAATGACGTTTAATATTATATAACTTTGGTACATTAATAGTATATTAATAGTATATCAAGCAGATTATTTTATCTTTTATTTCACAGCAAAAATATTCTAATTCCCATTTTACTTGGAATATTCTATGTTCGTCAGCGATTTTTCGTTTAATTTTACTACCACTTGGTTTTGATATAGACATACTGAATACAAAGGGCTGAAATGTATTCTTTCCACAAGAGATAAATCAAAATGCTGAAATATTTCTTCAAAAATATTCTAACAATATCACAAAATGTCAAACGTTTAGCAAAAATCAATTCAAAACAGAGAAACTAATTCTATCTCACAGCGAAATCACTACAAATGAATCACAGCATTAAGTAAACAAACAGTTCGCTAGAACTACAGCTACTACTGAGATGAGTTGTTTGTTCTCGGCTTTTATAAGCTTATAATTATTTCTCGAATATACTGGAAACATCTATAATTATCTGGATTTTTGTGGATGGCAACAGCAATTACGAGATATTTATTTATTAGGTATTATTAAATGCACGCGCTGTTCTATTTTAACCTTCCAACGCAGCTGTCTTTTCAAAATCGTCTGCGTTGCTAGGCAACATGAAGCAAATCTAATTACAATTCTAAAAAAAAAAAAAAAAAAAAAAAAACACGAATAAATAAATAACTATGAAATCCGTAACAATATGAATTAAGTAATAATTAATATAAAGAAAAGTGCATGCACATGCATGCACCAATATATCGACAAACTATGATTGGAAAACTGAGGACCATGATTCGGCCACATTGGCTATCGGGGATGCGTCAAGTTCTGAGCACGTGTCCCCCAAAAGCCGAAGGTAGCTGAACGCAAGCTACTCACACGCATTTGTAATTTAAGTAGTGTGTGTGTCAGCTCGCTGTGAGTAATCTAACAACACTGAATAAATTATCGTTATACTTAGCAGTACACATTTCATTTTTTTCTTCGTTGATATGTTTATTTTATTATTATATATTATTATTTGCCGATATATTGGCCGGGCCGCAAAAATATTTGTTGTGGGCCGTAGTAATACTATTTGTTGTGGGTCTTAGTAGTTCTTAGTGGTAGAAAAAGTAAACCGAACATTGGCATGATGAACTGAGAAAAGACTAAAAAATGTATGCCAACATATAATAGCGCATGAGGAATTCTAAACATAAGCTGCTATGTTGCTCTTAATTTTTTCATTTTTACTGCTGAATTGTGTATGGCTTAAAATAATTTTTATTTAAGAAAATGCTATTTAATATTAAAGCTGAAAACGCGAAAAACAGCCTTCCAGTCTATAAAGATCGCAACATAGCTTAACAAATATTTTTGAGCGATCGTTTACATCTGAAATGTTCCAGATTTATTTATTTATTATTTTTTTTAAATATCTATAATTTATTCATTGTAACTATACAAAACCGTGTTCACTGATATCGCAGCTTGCTCTGCGACTGTAACTGCTTTAAAAACGGCGGGATTTTTGTTGTTGTTCTTAACCGAAGAATGTCATCATGTCAGATAAAATATCTGTGAAACCGAAATCGTCAACCAAAAAATCTAGTTAGTATTAATTTTAAACTTCCTCATTTAAAGGTATTTATTATAAGCCATATTTTTCTAGTTAAAATTTATCTTCATGTTTTTATTATTACTTTGAAAATTTTAATTATTTTCTTGGCTAAGTTTATACTAATTATTAAAGCTGTTGTTAATATATATATATATATATATATATAAATATACAAAATATAATGGGGTTTTTATTATTGCTATTTGTTTTTAATTTCTTCTTGTACTTGTTTTTATGTAATCAGAATAAAAAAAATTTTATGATTAAAGTACGAAACAGTTGTAATTAAATAAAACTTTATTACTCTTACTAATCTGAACTTCAAAAGCTTCATGTACTGAGGGACTCAGCCGGATTCTCGATGAATGCTTATCCTGTGAGTGTCCAGTTTTTCTTTCCAAACTGTAGTTTGGAAAAAAAAACGTTTTTATCCAAACTACAGTTTTGTTTGCAACACTTTTTCTGTAATTTCGAGGAAGCTGTGACTTATCTTTTTGCCTATAGTTTGTAAAACTGAGGTAAGATTTAGAAAAAAAAAAAAAAAAATGTTTTCAGATTTTAAGTTTTCCCCAGTATCTAAAAGAAACATGTGCATTTATCTAGGAATAATGAGATATTTTTTTCTTTTATATCATTTTTGTGTGTGAATTTTGGATCCATTTTTGAAACATATGTTTTATCCATATTTATTATTTGCTTTGCAGCTGAAAATTTATCTCTGAAGTTGCACGATCTCCGGAGGTTTTCTTGTAACACGAATTTTTTATTTATTATTATTAATATTATTTGTTGTGTGTCCTGTTGGAAAGCAATGTAATGTAATTATACTTAAATTTGTTTCCTGAAGATGTTCTTTAAAAGAAATGCAATGATTTGTTCCTTAGGAAAAGACTTTTGTAGATACAAAGTATATTGAGCAGACGTCATATCTAATTAAAATGTGTGAATACGTATTTGCCTTTCCAGTCCATAATGCAGATGTGGAGAGAATATCTTGCTTAATGTTAACTCATTGGTCAGATGAAAGAAGTAGGTTGTCACTGGATAAGACAACTGAAGCAATTCTGATTTGTCATTATAATTATAAAATGAGTTATGTTCAATTTTATAATATATGAAAAATGATATAATGATCACAGAATTACAGAGATACACTATCACACAAGCTCTGGTAAAGTCGGCTGTCTGCAAAATTCATCCTCTCACTGTTTTCTTTAGATATTTTGTATCAAAATTCTGTGACCATGAAGAAATTTTATCACTGGGTTCCCCATTGTTGACAAATTCAACAAGTGCATATTTAAAAATTAAGTTTAAGGATTAAAATATCATATTCTGCTTATAAAAGCCATTGGAATAGAATAAAAAGAATGCATGTACAAATGGCAACATTACTTGACTGAAGGGTCATTATGCAGGTGTCTACAAGAGTTTGGCACATTCTAAAAATTGGAGAATTCTAAGGCGGCTGCAATAACACATAAGTACCCAATTCTAAAAACATATTTCTTTAAGAACTATTGTAGCAGGTCAGTGATTCTATTAGTAATAGTAGATTAATGTTCTTTTGTGCTAGTTCGCACAAATCAATGCCTTCACTTGTTAGTTTTTTTATGACACACATCCAAATGTCTAAAAAAGAAATATGTGGGGAAGGGGTCGTGATCTGTAGCATACTGAGTAAGAAATGGGTTGGAACTTGTTAGATTCTCTTTATGGAAGAAAATTGTCCCGTCCAGCATGGAGTCCAATTCTTGTTGCGAACTATCCATTGCTATTGTTTTACGTATGTACCTTGGGATGAGACGACCAAGGGATGTTGACAAATGAAACTATTTGCATTTGAACTGCTTGCTTTGCAAGTTCATCCATCTTTTCATTTCCGTAATGGCTGGAGTGTCCTCTTATCCAGAATATTGTTCAGTTGATTTTGTTCTGGGTTCAGATATTATTAATTGCACTACTGGCGAGGAGTGCATTATATTTTTGATAGCCAGTAATGCTGTTTGGCTGTTGGAGAGAACAATTGCAAAAGAGGTTACTGCTTGTATAGCAGTTAATTCTGCTTGGAAAATGCTGCTGTTCTATAGACTTTAGTGGATCATCGCTGCTGGCCCCACCTTGTTATAAATTTTTCAGTCCTCAGTGTATGCTACTGAGCAGTGTTCTCAACCTTTTCACTAACACGTACCATTTAAAAAAATTTGAAAAATGCTACCACTACATTTCACAATGATTATTTTTCAGTTTCTTAATAGAAATATTTAAAATATATATATAATATTGTCATTTGCTCAACCTATTGGTTATTTGTACTAAATATGCACACAAAAATATTAGATTAAAAATTACCATTTCAATTATCAAAAATTAAGTTATAATACTTAATTCTAAAATTTAGTGCGAAATTTGGACCTGCTTAAGAGAGATCAGTTTCTTAATTCTTCAGTTCGGCCAAAAGTTAACAAGTGTGTTATTTTTGAAATCCTCAACTACAGTTCGATCACAGGAAGTTTTTATCAATTTTTTCCTTCGCGAGACAAAATTTCAGGTACATTTGAACAAAACAGATTTCTAATCCAATTTTCTTTCTCGGCAAAATGCATGTTGAAATTATTTATCAATGAAAATAATGATTTTTAATGTTGAATGCTAATTCTTTTATTTTAAAATTATTTTTGGTTAGAAAACTTTCTAAATGTGATAAAAAGCTGAAAATATTATTATACAATTCTTTGATTATTAGTTTGAGATTTTATATTATTGCATTTATTTTATCTCTAATGGTAAACAAATTAACGCTTTGTTCTTGTAATTCTAAATTTAATTCATTTAACTTTCCAAAAGTATCAGCTAAATATGCTAGCCGCACCAACCATAATTCACTAAATAAACATTTTTCCGATTCAAATTTTGAATCATAGAGGAAAGTTTGAATTTCTGATCGAAGTTCAAAACAATTTAAAACTTTGCCTTTGGATAACCACCCTACTTCGGAATGTAACAAAGCATTTCATGTCCATTGCCCATCTCTTGGCATAAATTGTAAATATTCTTGAATTTAAAGCTTGGCTTTTAACAAAATTAACAATTTTCACAACTTGATTCAAAACGATTTTCAGGTTTGGGGAATTGTGGCTAATCTTTAGAATATGGTAACAGGTAGTTTTGAAACATTTGGTAAGGGATAAGGTTACTAGCTAGGACTTTAGCAATAATCTGAGAAGTACACAGTTCAAATCACAGATTATTTTGTCTCGAGAAATAAGAGATCATGAGACATGTAATTGACATTTTCTGGAAAATTTCCGATTGTGATTTTAGCTAATAAGCACTTAGAAACAATTTCGTGCTAAAGTGCAGATCGCCCACTTATTTGTTTGGCACTTTTTTACAAGAGTAAAGAACTGGATTTTTGTCAATTTCTTTGACTTTTTAAGTAAAATAGGTCGATGTGTACATAGATAAAGCGAGTGTACGCAATGCATTTTTGTGCAATCTGGGATTTATTTTAACGAAATAGGTCGACGTGTACATGGATACCGTGTATGTGGAATTTTTAAAAACGGCGGCAAGCATTTGCGATTCTGCACTTTCTCCCAATTTCGCACCTAATCTTCGCCATGATTAAGCATTTTTGTTCCATAAAAGTTCTAGTATAAGCGTAATTTGGCTATCAGATTGTTGGGAAAAAATGTTGAGTAAAAAAAAAAAAAAATTCCTTTACTTCGTGAAAACAAAATGGCGTCCAAAACAAAACTAGCAGGTTGCTGTAGCAGGGTTGGTCACCAAATTTTCACCAAAAAATCACCAAGTTACCATAATGTAAAGATTCACCGGATTTGTTTCGCCTACTAAATCTTCACAATGAATGGAGCACTGTGTACATTTTGTTTAATGTGCAACTTTCTTTATTTGAGAAATAACAGTGGAATGTTTTCCTGTTAAAGCCCAAGCTTATTCCCAGTGGCGTAAATAAGGGCAGGCAAAGAGTGCCGTTGCATAGGGGCCCGAAGGCTTAAGGGGCCCTTGAATGTTCTGCTGAACTACATTCACATGATTAAACTTTAAAAAAAAATACGCATTCTTTTATAAATACTATGACCAAGGGCAAGGTGGCCCCATAAAAAGCTGAAATCAGTGTTACACATACCAAAATGTCGGGTATCATATTTCAACGGAAATATCCATTTTGACCGTTCTCAAATCCATTTATACTGCTTATTTTCATGACATTTGTACGTACGGACAGACTAAAGAGCTCTTCCTTTCAAAAAGGATTATAAAATGGATTCAAAAGGGATTTTTTTTCATGACATCTCTACATTCGCATATACGTGCATACGTATGTGTACAGAGAAACAGAGATATATATATATCGCATAACTCAAAGATGATTAGTCGTAGAACATTGAAATCTTGTATACGGGAGTGCTATAATAGCCAGTTGTGCACTTCACTTTTTTATTGCAATTAGCAGAATATATTGTACTGTAAATTTAAAAGGGTGCCCAAAACATTTTTTGCATAAGGGCCCAAGAGTTCTAGTTATGCCACTTCTTATTCCAAGGAATATCGTTCTCAGACATAAAATTGTCAGTTATTTTGAAAATTTCATTTGCAGTTGCCCTATCATGAAGAGATTTCACAAAATAAATACTCTTCGACAATTACTTTATCTTCTTCGAAACATATGTAAATTAATAATTGAACAAAGTTCATTATATCAGTACTTTCATCCCATTGCAATGCAAAATATTCGCTGTGTTTAATTTTTGGAACAAGTACCTCTTTTATGGAATTTGTCGACTTACTGTATCATTTGATAATGGAATATTATTAAGTTCATTATCCACTTTTCCGTTGAATAACATCAAAATGATATCTTTAGCTGCTGGTAATATAAGGCTTTCTTCAACAGTGTGAGCCTGCTCAGTCTTGGCAATTCTTAGGTTTACTAACTAGCTTCCAAAGCTTTTTTGCTTGAAGTAACAAAACCTTTCATTACTTGTTTATTATTTTTGAAATCCGATAAATTTCTCTTAAAATATTCTTTAGATTTATCCTTTAAACTGACATGCTTAGATTCAGGATGTTGGGGTATTTAATTTTTGTATTTCAATAATTAAAAATACTTTGTTTCTTTGTGTACCACCTATTTTTCTCTTTCGTAGAACCCCTGCTACTGGATATTATTTGTGGATTCTGCTTGACTGGAAGTTAGGTTGTAGTTTGTTTGAAGAGGCTGTTTGATGTTTTTGTTGGGGAACAGATTTCTGTTCAAATTGATCTGGGATGAACAATTGCTCTTTCAGTTCCACACTTTGTTTCAGTTGTAAAACTGTAGTAATTGCTGCCTCAAGTTCTGCCATAATGTTGAGGGGATTACTCCCATAAGAACATTTAGGGCCACATTTGAAGTTTTTCTGCAGGCTCCAGTGATTTGCAGTAAGAAAAGTCACTCTAAGCGTGCTTATTTTTCTGGCAGTCTTCGGATGAGCCCATATTGCCACTTTTAAAATAAACAATTACCTGTCCTTTTTTTATGAATTTTACTTATTTAGCACTTAAACATCCTGTATCAATGCTCAATGCTTGGCAATTATGCAACACTACTTATGGAAAATCAGTCAAGGTTTCATTTTGGATCTTTTATTGGGACAGGTCATTACGGTAAGGACAGTAGTATGCAAACCTGTAGTAATGACTGTGGCAATGTTGGAAAAAAACAAAATTAATTAAAGTGATTGTAATAAATTATTTTAAATAAACTTGTAATAAATTTTGCCATTAAAACATTCTTAAAAATACCTTTCCAGATTTTCTTTTCTCTCTTTCATTCCATAATATAATGTTTCTTTGATAAATCTGAGAATTAAAATGCGTATAAAAAATTGTGTGGGTTTCAATTTTCATTTAGGACATAATGTGCCATCAAGATATAAGGAAAGTGCAGAAAAATTTTCATCAACAAGGAGAGACCGGACTTTGTGCTACATCAGCAAAGATGTAAGTTTAACATTTTATTAATGTAAATTGTTTATTTTATTCTAGATTTTACTGAATTAAAAGTGTGAAATAGCATTTGATAATGGAAAAGCTTTAAATGGTGTTTATTATTATTATTTTAAGCTGATGCTTTTTTAACATGTAAGTTTGAATTCTATCGTTCAATAAACAACTGTTGTGCATTGCATCTATGAAGATTGCTCAGATATATGCTCTATACCAGTTGTATTTGATCAGAAAATATTAAAATGCAATTGCTTCGGACCAAAATATTCTGATCAGAAAATTTTGTTGTTCTATTTGAGGTTAAAGTAATTTAAAATTTTCATCCTAACATAAAGAATCTGAGAAATCAAGCACTGAAGGCTCATAAAATGTATTGTTAATTGACAAAAACATAACTTTTCAAATCAGGTTCTAATATTGCAGCTTAACAGGTTATGCTGATAAAGTAATTTTTACCCTTCCGAGCAGCATGACTTGCTTTATCCAGTCATTAGATTTTTTGTCACTTGGTATATATTATCTTACAATTTAAGATATTGTGTTTTTTTATTTTCTTTAATAATGTAAATGTCATCTTAATTAATGTAAATTTATGAAAATAAAGACTGAATAAGTAACTATACAATTTAGCTAATAAATGCTGTTAAATACAGATCTTCATGACAAATCCAAAAACCTGCTGCACTCAGTAGGTTAATAAAAGTGTAACTAAATTATTTATATCTTCAACTGATAACTGAACTTTTATTTCACTTGCTGTAGCTAACACTACCAGTTTGACAGTTTGTAATGTGATGTGTATTATGTTATGGGTTACGTGTAATTTTTAAAATGTCACCTGTATAAACTAAATTAAAAATATTGGTTTAATTTAAATAATTATGTTTTTTGATAGTAATATGATGTTTACTGAGAAGGAGTTTTTGATGCAATTTAATAGAAATCCATTTTATTAAAGTCATTTGCATTTGAATGAAGGCAATTTCTTTTATTTAAACATGAGCTGGATTCAGAGTTTTGGGCTAAATTTGACTAAAATTATGAAACTGGAGAATTTATCACATCAGCTGAATGGGTTTGTTGCATGGGATTTTCCTATTTTCCCTTGTACATAATAAAAAAATATGAGGCTTTATGAATGTTCTGCAGATGCATTTATGTTATTAGATTCAGTAACTTTGCAATGATCTGCTCTAGTTCAATAATAAAGACCAGAATTTAAGTGAAAGACAATTTTAACCCTTTAACCTCATGGCAGCTACCTGCCACAAATCTCATATTAGCTAAGATACAAATGGAAAAAAGGTTTCACTTTAAATATATAAAATAATATGTAGAATTTTTTCAAAAACATTTAAAAGTATGATAGTCTTTTACTGGAAAGTTTTTAAAATAGCCTTCATTTTCAATAAAATATGACTATTTATTGAAATATATATTTGTGGTATTTTTTCATATAAATTAAGGGTAAATGGTAGTGTAAGGTTTTAAAATTTTAGTTGTGTGGATATTCATTAAAATTTTATGCAGCTCTCGTAGTTTTCTCCCCCTCCCTCCCATTTATTTTTCCTTATTTTAACAAAAAACAAACAAAAAAAAGAAAAAGCTTTCAGTTTTCAAAAAATAAATATTTGTAATTGTTTCATAGTGATATCTAATAGTATTGGTTCCCATTCACTTGCAAAATACTGAAAGGTGAGGGAAATGAAAAATGGTTGGAGAAAATTTAGCGTTTTCGAAAAACTGGAATTAAAAAGGGCTTCCCCCTGCCAAAAGTGAAAGGAAGAATAAAGAACAAATTATTCATCTAAGATTAATCTTAGTAATTTCAATAATAACCAATAAAAAATGCTTTATTATTATAAGATAATCTTGATGATTTCAATAATAACAAATAAAAAAATAAAGCAAATGGGGAGTTTAATCTGTTTTACTTGCTGTATTTAACCTGGCTCATATCTGATATAATTTTCTCCAATTGTAAGTCTCATGTCTTTCTACTAGTTAATTTTTCTTTTTAACTACATAATTGTTTTATCAGCCTTCTCTTTAGAAGTGTAATTACCTTTTAATAATAAATAGTATGATTTAAAAGTTAGCACATTATATAGTTATATGCTATGATAAATATATTAATTAGTTTTGCCAATCCAGTCCCAAGTCTTCACTCTTATTCTGAAATACTACAAAGCATAATATTTATTATGAATGATGTGCTATCATCAGTTTCCTTGATAATCCCACTTCATAGGATCATTTCTATAGTATGATAATCCCACTGACCATGAAACAAATCAAACAGCGGGATTTAGAGCTGAATATGGATAAGCATGACATAACAGTGCAATAATAGCATCTGTGCCTTCATTTGATGTGACCCTAATTAATTCTTGATAGCCATGCTTTGTTTTTTATGAACAAGGATATAAATTATCTTCTATCACTGTATTTTTTCTCTAGCTTTTGAAAAAAATTATTAAAATTCGGGACATGCTTTTTACAGAATGGCAAGCTGTGGACTATTTTCAAAATAGGGACCATGCCATCAACACCATTTAGTCATCTGAATATGGCCAAGAAAACTAATAAATTAGAACATTTGCCTGCAGGAAGTTTGTATTCATAGTGCTCTAAAAGAAGATTCTGGTAAATTCAGAGAAATTCAAGAAGCCTTTTTATGAAGTAGATTATATGGTGATTGTTTATTGCATTAAGGAGATGTCAGTTTTTTCATAATTCGGTGAGAATGATTGCCACAATTTTGGTGGGATCTCTACCAGCTCTCATGGTTGAGGAGATAATTCGTAAATATTGTTTCTTTTTCGGGAGGAAACTTTTTTCAGGTGGAATATTTCATTAGAAAAAAAGCTACTGCCTTTTTTTAATAGTTTAGATGTTCATACACATTTTTACTATTTTTTCAAAGTAATGCATAAGATTTATATAATGTTTCTAATTATTTCATTTATTTTGTAGTAAAAGCTTAAAATAATTTAATTACTAGCACTTAATTTCCTAAATAATTCAGCAAGTTTAATCAGAAAAGTGTTCAATTAGATCATGAATATCAAGGAGATTAAAATTTAAATTTCAGTCGGAACCCTATCATATTACTCTGAGAATTATTTTATTAATTAATGGAATACAGGGTGATCATACATAATTGAGTGATTTTCAAGAATGAATATTAAGAAGCAGTCTAAAGAATGAATATTAAGAAGCAGTCTAACACTTTATAATGTGTATTTTAATGTTACTTGTATGTTTTTTATCTGAAGTGACAGTTTCAAGTAGCTTTTAAACAAAATTTTAACTTCTAAAAAAATCCTATATGAAGATGTGGCCTTGGCTACTATGTTTAAAATTAATTTATGATTAGGACCAGCATGAATTATAAACAAATAGCTAAGTTTATTGCATTTTATTTTCCAGCTATCGAAATGTGACGCTACAAGCAACGTTTTTAAACCAAAACCAAGCAATCATGAATCAGAACTAGTTGCCATTCCATAAAGAAATTAAATATAATATGAACTACTTGTTGCCATTCAGCATAAAAGAAATATAAATATTAACAAAATATTTATAGTAATTTTATAAAATAATTAAACACATGAACAAATATATGAAATAAAAATAATTATTTCTCATGCCATACTTGGGCCACTACAAAGATCATTTATCGTGTGTATCATATCCCATATGGTATCTAATTTCATGCCACATATAGTATCGCATGAGTTAAACACCTCTTCATTTTGGGCGGGGGGGATTTGTCAAAGACAAGGTGTCCATAGCAAAATTCAGTAACAACAGTGAATTAAAAAGAAACTGATCATAAATCAGGGAAATTAAAAGGTTTATTAACCCACGAGGACCCATGGACCCGCATGATTAAACAAATCTTTCTCAAAGCACGCCTATTTCACATAAATTGTTGAAATCCTGTGTTAGTCGGGTCCAAGGTAAACCTCTTTGTTTCTGATTTTTTTTTACTGGGGCTTTGATTTAAGGTCTTGATTTTGATCGGGTCAGGCCTTTTAGACTCGGCACGCCTGTTCGTATTACTACAGTACAAAGTCCGTAATCCGCACTCATCGGGACTTCGCCGATTTCAGATAATAGATCATCAATTTAAATCTGGTAAGATGGCATGCAGAAATTATACAATTAAAAATATGAAACCGTAATTTATGAAATAAAAAGGCATATGACTAAGGTACAAAGGTACAAAAAAAAAAAAGCCTTTATTTACATTAACTTTCTTCAACGCGCATATGCGTAAAGGTTGGCAGGGTGATAAAGGCAAAGCATATTTTGCTTCCCTCATAAGCTAAGACAAATCTAAATAAAATTCATTCTTTATTCCGTAAATTAAAATAAAATAAGCTAACACTATAGCCTTTACATTTAAAATCATTTGAGTGAAAGAAAACTAGCACAATGCTAACTCATAATAACAAGACACATTTGCCAATACCGGTGTACATATATATAATACTCGGCCAACCCGCCGATCTTGAAGTCATCGCCCAAACAGCAGCAACCACGTTAGCTTATCGCCGATTGACCTCCGATCAAAATTTGTATGAGGAAAAACTAAAGCCAACATAAAGCATAAACAGGGTTCATAGCGGTCCTTACAAGCGCTTATAAGTCCTTATATTTGAAAATAAAATATAAAGGCCCTTATAGGTGCTTACTTTTTCTTTAAAACCTTTTTTTTTTTTTCTTTTTTCTTTTTGTGCTTATTTTTTGCTAGACTTTTTTAATCCTTAGGTTTAAGGAGCGCATTTTTTCCCTAACCACACAGAACTAAAAAACACTTCTTCCTTATATGCAACTCAGATGTAATCATACTCCGGAAATTGCTTCCCCCTTCCTCTGCATAAATAACCTATGTAGCGCAGAGTACAGACAGTGCACGTCGCTCTATGGTCACGAATGCGAAACGGTAGAAAATTCCGGTACATTCGGTATTCTTTCCCCCCCCAATACTACACACGTTTGAATTTCTATCAGATTTAAATTGCATTCTCGTTCGCATGGTCATTCATATTCGTTTATTATGATTCGTTATGCTTATATTATACATATTTGAATAGTTACAAAATATATTGCAATAACGCTGAGGTAATAAACTCCAAAATGGGGTGCTTTTACACAGATTAGCTTTCTAAGGAATCGATTTGGAATGGCTTAAATCAAGGAATATCAAATAGTCAAATAATTTCTTTCTTCTTTTTTTTTTTTTTTTTTTTTTTGCCAATACATTATACGTACGGAGTTGGGATTTTTCCACAAATCTCTACATTGAGCAGCGGACTTTTTTTGGTCTTGTCCAGATGATTGAATAGGACTAAAGTTTTTGCGTCTACCAACCATCGAAATTTATTCTTCCGGAAATTTAATGCGTCTTTGAAATTAAATCAGAAACCCCCCAGCTAGTAGTCTCTTCTTTCCTTTATTTAGTTCTTATCCGAATACTGGCAGTGTTGATTCCGATTGCGTAATATCACAATGGAGAATTCCGCCGCACTATTGCGCAATAACGTTGCATATTTGCTTGATAATTAATTTTAATGTTCAGTCTGAATTTGTTTTGAACACTTAAAGTTTTACTGTGCTTTCTAGCAAAATTTCTCAGTTCCGTTGGCTTTTTTATATGATGCACATTCGAAATGTCAATCATTTATTGCCAATTTAAATCTAAGACGGCTACGTCCCCCCCACTCCTTTTTCCAGTTCTATCCGAATACTCGCATTTCCGTATGCGGTTTGTAGCTTTACGTTAAGATGACTAATGAAGCAATTTCCTGCCTCTATTTCAAATGTGCTCTTTTTACTTAATACGTTGCTTGAATATATGTTAAGGGAAACTATATGCATGAAATTTAGAAAATTTCATAATTTTAGATTCACTTTATTTAAATATAATTGATGGAAATAAATTGTATTTATTATAGGTGCCAACGAATACATTAATATGGCTTATTATTATTTTTCATTTTTTGAACTAAATTTCATCATTAATCTCTAATATAGTTTATTCTGCATATTTTTTTTTTTCCTCAGTGTAACTATCCGGTAAATTGAACTGTCATTAAAATAAAAAGTTAATTGTTTTCCATGTTGAGGTATGCCCATTCTCTATAAAATTGCATTGCCATATTTTAATTACAAGTCTAATTTTTTCTTTAAGGTTGCAGTTTTTATAATGTATTGACAAGTGCTTATTTTGTCTTAAAATATGCTGAAAGTCCTTATAGGGCTTATTTTTAACTAAATTGGCTACTACCCTGATACATTCTGCTTTTTACGGCTGCATATTGTATGCGCGTTCTCTACCTGAATGCGTAAGGTTTGTGGCTTTGAGGTCCGGATCATAGATTATTCCAGATAATGGACGTCCGGATTACAGACTTTGTACTGTATTACATAGTTGATTTGTGATAGTATAGAAAGCGGCAAACATGTCACATAATTTATCTTACAAGGAAGAAATGTTACAAAGGTTCTTAGATGCATCAACTGGAGATAGAATGTATTGAAGAAACTGAGGATGGAAGTGATCATGAATGTTTAGTTCATGTGATAATTCTTCTAAAAACGAAAGTGAGAATAACATAAATTGCTTTATTGGGCGAAAAAGTATTTGGAATGATAAAAGAAATGAAGATTTTGCCCAGCCAAAAAGGTACACGAAAATGAAAACGCGCTGCGCAGAATGTGAAAAATATTTGTAAGCAGAACACACAATACTTTGTATAAAGTAGTACTAATATTTGTTGTTGCGTTTTTTCTCGGTGTCGTAGTGCTAATAGACAAAATAAAGAATCGATACAGAGTAAATGACAGAGCTCATAATGAAAATAAAAATATGACACAGAGATACTATATTTTTTCCTATGCTAATATAAAATACAATTTTCTGTTCCTTTAAGAAATTTTATTTCGTAAAAGCATTTGCAGAAATTAAAAATTTTAATGTGCATATTTTTTTAAGTTTGATCCTAAAATTTACTATTTGCACAGATGTACACTTTTTCTGAAGATTTAAAATTTTTTCTTCAAAAATCCCAAATCGAGACTTTTGAACCCAGTGCACACGCTGGTATAGCTTATATGAACGCGACCGCCCACGGGTTAATTGGTGTCTAAATGAATTGGTCATTGCCAGTTAGGCATCCCTTTATTTCTTTCTTTGGAAACTTGCCAAAAACACTATTTTACAACAGAAATTAGCCGAATCAACAAACTGAAAGTACAGTCCTTTTTTATCTTAATATTCACCCTTGAAAATTGCTGATTTATTTATTACCACTTTGTATGCATTATTTCTCATCTCAATTAAATTGAAAACAGATTCCTTTGCTGTCTTTATCTTAGAATGTCATTCAAAATGTTAACCCCTTAAATAACTTTTTATTTTTCAGTTTCTGTTTAAAAATTATTCATATTGTTTTTGCTATATACTTTTAATTAGTACAACAAGACATAAGAGTCTACAAATATTTTTTCAAAATTTTTGCATTTTTTTAATATTTTTATGAAGCAAAATGAATGGTAAGTAATTATTACTGACTCGTGTATTTTCTTTAAGGACGAACACAAAAAAATAATTTTGAATTTTAATAATCATAAACTGAATATTTATATGTATAGAAAAAGTGTGAAATGAATGATTAAAAAGAAATAAAATATGAAAAAGGCAAAAAAAAAAAAATTAGTTAAAATTGAAAACTGTGTATGACATATTCTCACAAATCGTTGTGAAAGTCACCAACATAACCACAAAACACACTAGAGTTTATTTGGAGTAAATAAGAAAAGTCTGTCATGAACCATGAATAACGAGTTAACTCGTGATAATCATTTTCTATGATCAGGTCAACTTGGAATAACTAGGCAAGCTGTTAATATTTATTCTGAATTGCTGTCCTTGTATTTCCAAAAATGTTTTTTATTTCATTTTAGAGCCAAGGTAGTTCAAAAAATAACAAACTCGTAACTTCCACGCCTGCAAATAAAAATGTTCTTCCCATGGCTGCCCTAGATGCATCTGTTATACCTGGTCCTGCTAACTTAAGTAAGGAATTTATTTTATGTTAAAAAAAAATTTTTTTTGCTAAAATTTTTGAAGTTAATTTTTTTGTTAGAATATTATAGTAGGAATAGCAGTATTTGAATCTAATGTTTTGCTGTACTTTAGTCTTAGCTTATGACCATTGTATTTTTTTTTTATATGTTAAAATATATGCTATCTTTATTATAATAGTTTAGTGCAAAACTTGCTCCCTATCTATTGGCAATTTACATGGCCATTTTGTACTTCTCAGTAATGCTTTGAAATTTTGCTGAACTAAAATTTTAAACCACTACAAAAATCTTAATCAATTAATTCATTTCAGACTTGTATTACAGCAGCTGTTTTATTTATTTCTTATTTCAAGATCTAGTATAATTTATTAAAATGCTTACTTTATACGTGTTCAAAAGCATAAAAGTTGAGGGTAAAGCACTTGAGCATGGTTTAGTGCTATTACTTAATTTTAAGCAAGCGCAGCTCCTAAATTTTTGGTTGTAGATTCGTGTATAATACCTAGAAGTTTCTTCTACAGCTATAAACATTTTAATGCCATTCGGAACAACATATTTAAGTGAAAAATCTTTCTTGACATTTGCGGCATTAAAAACAAAATACAGTCAAAAGTCTTTAATCCGGACTCGTCGAGACTTCAGCGATTCTGGATTATTGGTTTTTCCGGATTATAGATCATCAGTTTAAATCTGCTAAGATGGTATGCAGAAATTATAAAATTAAAAATATGAAACCATAATTTATGAAATAAACAGCAATTATGATCTAAAGGGTATCAAAATTTACAAAAAAAAAAGAGCTTAATATTATTTGTTTTTACTTATTAAACATTTCTTTAAACGCGCGCATGCGTAAAGCATACCTTACGCATAGTCGAAATTAGAAATTGCAACCAGAAAACTATTTGATGTGTATTCGTGATATTATAATGACGAGAATTTGATTTAAATCATATCAAAGACGGAGTACATCGAGATAAACTACTACTTAGTAAGGAATTATAAGCCAAATAAAATAAAAACATCTGCCTGAAGATAGGATAGTGCTGACAGATCAACTTCCAGTTCATTGCGCGCCGCGACGTCCCCCCCCCCCCCGCAGAGCAGCATGAAATTGATAAACAGATTTCGGAATGGTTAGAGAAACATAGGATATGCCTTTATCCATTTTTTGCAGCAATTCCACTTTTTGTTGATGGACATCGAAACAAGCTTTCGCTTTGTATATCCTTCTGGCAGCTCTAGAATCAGACATTCTTTTTGACATAATCGAAAGTTCAAGCTTACTTTTATAAAATTGCTCTAACAGTCTGCAAAAAATAATAAGCAGGACCCAATTAGAAGATGAAGGAACAATCCAATCTGCAACATTAACTGAAATATATATTGGAATAACTGAAATATATAATTTTTGGAACTTATTCTCTAAAACTAAACTAAAGGGTTCAGCTTGGATAATTTTAGCTTAGCTTGTACCGCCTGTTATACATTAAACGTGCATGCGCATGAGTAAAGGTATTATGCGCATGCGTAAATGCATAATGTGTTTACGCATGTGCAGAAAATTTGTAGCTTTGAGGTCCGGATTATAGATCATTCTGGTTTATGGATGTCCGAATTAAAGACTTTTGACTATATAGAAACAAATTAAATGCACAGTGCAACTGCAGTTAACATCGTTAGAGCTAGACTTCAACAGTTTGTGTAAAAAAAAAATTCAAACACAATCCTATGTCTAAATATAATGCAAGAGTACATTATACCTGGAACACGAATTAGTGCTATTAATCCTTTGTCTTTACACAAGGTACCTATAATGTATTGATATAACTAGTTTATTTTAAGATATATATCTAAGGCTGTGATGGGGTTCTACGAAAAAACCCTTTATAATTTTAAGTGTTCCGTGAGTTGACAAAGTTTGAAGACCACTGGCTTATATTCTTAGTCATTGCGCTGAATCTTTCACCTGCTGTGCTTCCTAACTGGGCCAGTTTCACAATCGCCATCCCACTGCTGTGTTCCATAAGGATTCGATCCAAGAGCAGTATGGATAAGAGAATTTTGTATACTATAGATGTTTTTCTGCCTTTTATTTTCATTTTATCCATTCTAAATTTAATGTATAATGCAGATTTTTTGTAGATAAGTAACTATCAAAGCGTACTTCTAACCTTGAGAATAACTCGATAGAGATTTATGGAATATAAAATTATATATCATTATAAATTTTAGATACATTTATATGCTTAGAAAATAATGCCAATACAAGAGTAAGAATGAAATATGTGAAGCTCTGTAACTTAGCTAAAAATTTTTACAGCTATCAATGACAACTAATAATGGAGCAATTAAAATTTGCGGCTATGATGTTAATGGCTCTATTAGCAACAAAAAATTCCAAATACATTCTAAGTGCTACTATCTGCACTTACCATATATTTCTGAGAATTTTTGGAACTTATTCTCTAAAACTAAACTAAAGGGTTCAGCTTATATATGAATCTGCTTATTTCGTAAAAAACGTAGGTACTTTTCTTTTAGACAGACGCAAGGGGTAAATTGCCAAATATAGCAATTTTTAATTTCTTTAGGATATATTTCTTAAGTTTATGGGAAAAAATTAAATGGGATGAGTTATTCGCTTTGTGAAAATGAGTTGTCTTGTTTTTGAAACTGTTTATATTGCTCGTTTGTTGTGTCGTCATCAAAATGCAAAATCTGAAGTTGGCGAAATTTTTGCTCAGCTAGTAGAAAACAACCATGTGTTACCTTTTTAAATTTGGGCATCTGCTAATTCAAGACTTTTTTTGTCCAGTCACGAACTTGTTTTTTTAGTTTGGAGAAATGCTACACAGCCATACCGTTGTTAGAATTTTTGACAAATGCGATTATCCGTAGTTCAAAATTTGCCACGTACGAATTTCACTTCCTGCTCATCGTTCAGATAAAAATAAAATGGCACAGAAAGTGAGACTGTTAGAAATACCACAGATCGTGTCAGTTATTGATTGCATAAAAACCATTCCAATCTGCCTTTCTATAAATGGAAGCAATAATACTGATTTGAAACTGTATCCAATTGTTTCTTTTTTTAATCTGGTTTCTTCAGAAATTGAGTGAAGTTTGCTTTTATTATTTCTACATGCCATCTTACTAGATTTAAACTTATGATCTAATATCCGGAAAAATCCGGAATCATGGAAGTTGCGACGAGTTCGGATCTGGAACTTTTTACTGTATTTATTATTATCTTGAAAGGAGGGAAAAAATGAAACAAACCCAACAGCTGCATAATACTGAAATAAGAAAAGTTGTGAAACATGTATGTACATGCTGGCTATCTTTAAAGAAATGTTGATCTAGAATCCTCAACTAATGGAACCCACTTCTTGCATTTTTTTAAGGAAGAAATAAATGCTTCTAGAGTTAAGATAAAAGGTTCTATTGAAAGTTATAAAATACCTAATGTAAATGGAAATGTAGTTACTACTTCCATTGGCAAAAATAGGTTTGAGAAAAATAAAATAATTTCTGCACCAGTGATCAATTTAATTTTCAGTTCTCAAAATAATACTACAAAATATAAGCATAAAACTGATACAAATTTGTCTCAAAATATATTTTTTTTTTTAATTGCACAACAAGGAAAACATTTTCCAATTACTGTAAGCTTATCTTTTGAAGAACAAATATTTATGTTTTTGTCTTCAGACCTGCCATCATTCATTGTTCTACAAAACAGAATTCCGTTAATTCATGGTTTGTAATCAATGATTTATGATCTGTTTAAAGACATTTTATCAAAGTTTGATAAATAAAGTCTTTGTTTTGTCTTCAAATTCTATGTATGGTGTGATCTATGGTGAAATCAAAAATCAGAAAAAAGATGAAGATTTGGTAATAGGTGCTGCAACTAATAAAATAGAGGAAGACAAAAATAAATTTAATTTCACGTTAGAAGCTACTTCTGCCTAGTATGTGATTACATACTACATTAATTTCCATTCAACATGAAGTTATTTTATATGCTAAAGTTGCATATGTTTCTGCTCTAACAAATGCATCTTTTTCTGATTTGCTAATAGGGGCTGCAGCTAACAAAGTAGTGGAAGAATTTTCAGAGGAAGACAAAAATAAGTTTTATTTCTTTGTTAGAAGCTACTTCTGCTACTAGGCATGATTACATTCTACATAAATATCCAATCAATGATGAAGTGTTTTTATATGCCAAAGTTGCATATATTTCTGCTCTAACAAATGCATCTTTTTCTGATACAGAACAAAGTCCGAAATTCGCACATCCATTATCCGGAATGATCTAAAATCCGTACCTCAAAACCACCAACAACGTTTTCTCGTAGGTTATGCGCATTTGATTCCCCTCTCCGTGCATAATAAAACATCTGGAGAGTTCCGATTCTTAATTTCCCTTCGACACTAAATAAAGTACCTTGTTATTGAAGAAACAATCATTTTAGCATAAATTTGTAGGATCAGTAATTTGACTCCGTTGCTGCGTATCTGCTTCGTGTACATCTCAAACCGAAACATTCCACACAGATACATAATTGATCTGACGCCAACCTGGCGAATCATTATTTATTATACTTTCCTTTCATTACTGAATGTTTATCAAAACATGACAACTTGCATAATGACTCGTGTAGGAATGCCTAAATATTTTTTTTATGTTAGTAATAGAATACCGTATTAAATTTAAAATTTAATACGGTATTCTATTACTAACAATTCAAGTATTCTATTAATAACAATTCAATTAACTAACAAGGGGAAAAAATTTTAATTACACAGAAACGCCACAATAGATTAAATTGCGCAAGACATCTTCATGGGCCGTATAGATGCAAAATCTCAACCTATGTCCTGATATATGACATATTGGTTAAGAAAAACGCATGAAATGAAACCATAACTCAAAAATAAATTAAAGGTAAGAAATGTTGAAAATATATTTACGTTCACGAA